TATTCTACATACCTAGCTTCTCTCCTCCCTTCAAATATCTGGGTGTAATCATAACATCAGACAGAAGATATGTGTCAGAAATAAACAGCAAAATAGGCCAGGCTAAGACTGCATATCACAGAATAAAAAACGTCTTGTGCAACAGGTCTCACTCCTTGTATGTCTGAAAGAGAGCACTAAAATGTTATGTAGAACCTACATTGCTGTATATTAAATTGTAGAATGTAAATACACAAACTAAAAAGAACTTGGAAACGACAGAGATGTGGTTTTTCAGACCAATGTTAAGAATCCCTTGGAATGCTAGAGTAAATAACGAGAATTGCTTGAAAGAAACTAATGAAAGCAGATCAATATATACTGCTATAATGAGAAGACAAGCACTGTTCTTTGGTCACTCATGAGAGACAGATTCTTTTTCAGATTTTATTTAAAATTTTAAGCTGTTTTGGGGCTCCCTGTCTCTGAGAATAATGAAAAACATTTCACAATCCTCAACACACTAGGGTTCCAAAACCCTGTTTAGAAATAAATGTATGTGGCTGTCAGTACTAGAGTTGAACCACAGAAAATACTGCAGCCTCACCACAAAATATTTGTAAAGATGGCAGTTGATGCACATATATCTTTACTGTGGAGATAGCACAAGATTTAAAAATGTGAACACATTTTTATTTTCAAATTTTTTTTTCTAGGACAGAACTTTCCAAACTTTTCTTGTTGGTGAAACATGTTTTTAGACAAACATAATTTTGCCAAACAATAATTGAGTCTACTAGCAAATGAGAGGTTTAACTAACCCCATAAAAGAGATAGGCCACACATATAACTGTAATAATAAAATGTTTCATAATACATGTGTGACACACCTTCACACTGCAACCAACACACTAATGTATCAGAAACAGTTTGGAAAGCTCTGCTATAAAAGCTGCTTTTACTGTGAAATTCTTATTTTTATGGCATTTTTACATAAGGATTTTTGTATACAAAATTGTGTGAAATTGGATACACAAGAAAGACCACAGTAAAACTTTTAAGTTAGATGTAAAGTCAATTTTAAGATATGCTTAAAACCATAAAAAGCAGACATTTTGTTTCTCAACAGATGGGTAAAAATGAGTCATCATTTTTCATGTGGATTTTGTACTCAGAAAAGCAGGTGCTGTGAAATTCTTCCGCAGATGTTGCACCTTTGAAGCTACAGGTGAACGGATGATTTTTGGGGATTGTGGAAGTTTCTTTTCAGGTGATGTTGGTGAGTTTGATAGGGAGGTCACGAATGATTTTCTTGTTGTTGATAACGGTGGTGAATTAAATGAATTTCTTGAGGAAGATAATGATTTAATTTCTCCATTCAGCCATTTTGGTGTTGGCAATGGTGATTTGGGGATTTTGATGTTCACGGGTGACTTTGCTAATAATGGTGGTGGTGATTGTTCTGATGGTGATTTCAGAGAATTTTGAGATCGAGACATGGGCTGCTTTTTTCCTGAGAGTGCCGGTGACGAAAATGATGGTGTCAATTGTTTTTTAATTGACGGTGAAGATGGTGACAATGGTGATGAAATTAAACTTGAAAATGAGGATGATGGTGAGGACGACAGTGACCTAGCTGGTGAAGACGTCAGAAAACTTGAAGGGCGATTTGTTGGAGTGTTCTGAAAAAGACAAAAACACGTACGTAAGTGTTTAACCTTAAACTGCATTTAACATAATAATTTTGTGCTATTACATTGGGGTCACAGTCGAGTCTTCCAATCAAATCTATCCGGTGTAAAAACTGTAATGTCCTGCATGGTCTCCACAGATCCTAGACCTTCTTCTTCTTCTTCTTCGCTTTCACCGGCTGTGAACTCCGGCGGAAAGTTCTGGTTGTCAGTCCACTTCTGGACTGCAGTCTTGTTCCAGAACCTGAGTGTTACGTGTGCATCTGTTTGACAGATCTGTATGCAGACTGTTGGTTCCTTGCTTCTCAGGCAGATGCACTCCGACTTCGAAGGAAGCTCCTAATTAGTCGACTCTTACTACATGCTTTTGGGTAGGCAGTGAGTCTATTCTTGTTTTTGCCATAGTAGGGCCTCGGAACCCATGCGGGAGAGATCCTAGACCTCTTATTACAATTTCTAATTTTTTTTTTCAGGTTTCTGTTTTACATCCGTGTTTCATTAATCCTTATGTTTCCCATTTAAGTGCCTGTTTGTTGATTCTTGGCTTGCTTTTTCTCAGGTTGCGCCCAATATATCACATCACTATCTTCTTTGTGAGTGAGTGAGTGGAGTTGGAGCCCACTAGGACTGCACACTGTGTTATTATCAGCCAGTGATGTAAAGTGCAAAACATCACTATTCAATGAGAACAGGTGGTCACCGTGACGTTGGCGGCTAGACGTCACCTGCGAATCAGAAGGTTGTGGGTTCGTATCCAGACTTTTTTTTAGAAGTGACCTTGACTTCCAGGTGGACTCAGCCTTCAGTGGGTACCAGGTGCATACATGGGAAGTAAAAGTGACCAAGTGCCGATTGGTCTATAAAAATATAGGTCTAACTATTCCTACATACATAAAACACATACAAACACATACATACATGGATGCCCATATACACACACTTATACATACCTATACATACACACGCTTATACATACAAAATCACACATACATACCTATACATGTATATCACACATACACTCATTTGTACTTATCACATAAACTTATATAATTATAAAATGATAATACATTATGAATTAACTAAATTTAAGGTGGCAAATAATCAATGGTAGGCATGAATTTTAAAAGTTTGCAGTTAAATGAGTAGGGACTTTTTGTATATTTCAGATTGAGTGGAAGATGGTTCCATAAATGAGCAGCAGAATATGCTAAACTTGTCATAAAAAAATCAATTCTAGGTTTCAATCAATCAATCAGGTGCCGTCTCTACAATGAAGGTTGGCTGCAATGGATCTCCAACAAGCCCTGTCTCTTGCCCTTGATGTACACTCACTGATACTGCTGTTCGTCCATCTCTTGATGTTATCCTCCCACTTGTAGCGCTGTCTGCCTTTTGCTCGCCTACCTTGAACCTTTCCCTCTAGGATGATCTTTACAATACTGTTATGTCTTTTAATGTGGCCAAAATATTTCACTTGTCTCTTTTTTATTTCACCTAGCAACTCTCTTTTCATTCCCAATTTCCACAGTACCTCTGTGTTTGATAGCTTTTGTTTCCATGAAATACAACCTAATCTTCTGTATATCCACATCTCCAAAGAATTGATACGATTTTCCAGTTGTTTGTTCATTGTCCATGTCTCTGTGCCATACAGTAAGGTTGAGAATACATAACATTTGACGATTCTCATTTTTAATATATTGCTTATTTCTCTTGATGTCAGTAACTTTAGCATGTTGTTGAAAATGTTTTTGGCCATCCCTATTCTTTTCTTGACTTCTGTTTCACTTCTGCCGTCACATGTTATTACTTGTCCAAGATATAAGAAATTTTTAACTTGTTCCAATTTCACCCCGTTCACTGTGATATTCATTGTTAGCTGATTATTTTCTTTGCTAAATATCATGGTTTTTGTCTTTTTAAAATTTATATCTAATCCAAATTCTGCACTCCTTCTGTTTACCTGCTCCACTAGGTCTTACAACTCATGCTCACTCTCTGCTAGCAACACTGTTTCGTCAGCATATCTCAGATTGTTTATTATTCTACCATTGATGTGCAGTCCTGGTAATTCTACAATTTCTTTAAAAATGGTTTCTGTACATTAGTTAAAAAGGCTAGGCGACAGCACACATGCTTGTCTTACTCCTCTCTTGATCTCTATCTGGGGTGAGCAGATGTTGTCATATCTTACTGTTGCTTCTTGCTCCCAGTATAAGTTTCTAACAAGTCTGATATCCTTTCCATCTTGTCCTATGTTTTGAAAACCTAGTCAATTCTAGGTTTAGGCAAATGTAAAAAGCCTAATCACTTGCTAGATCAAGAGGAAGGCATAGAGATAAATGCCTGGATAGCTTTTTCATATAGATGGGGCAAGATAAGAGCAGTAACCTAATCCATGATTCTGGTGATTATGTGAGATGTTGAAACCTGTTGCTTATGCTAATAAGCAAGGCACATGATGCTGATGATTTGGAAATGGGTCTTCTAAGCTGCCTGTGGTGTTCTTAATATTCTTCCATTAAAAAAATATCATATCAAAGTGGCATTCAATTTCTTTCCAAACTCATGGAGGATGGGGAGGGGGGGGGGGGGGGGGGGGGCGTGGTCTCGAGGCATGGTGTCTGCCTCCAGTACAGAGATTTTTTCTGTTCACGTGGACTTCTAGTAATTTTCCCTGGTCTCTGGGTAGTGAGATCGGAAGCCCCTGTATGTTGTTGCACACGTTAACAAAATCTCTTGGCTGTTGGAAATCGAAAAGAGTAGCCTAACAGCTCTGCTTGGGCAAAATCTGGAGTTAAAAATCTACCCAAAATGTGTTTCAGGATCCTCGCCGGTGCAACAGAGTTTGTGCACTGTGCTGAGATTCTTTGGACTCAGGCTTGAGTTAGAAGAAGAACGGAGCAATTATGAGTTACTAGCCGTGTGCTATGATGTTGATCCGTTGTTTAAACTTCAAACTTCTAAACTCAATATTCAGTATTTATGGCTGTCTCCGTGGTGAAATGGTTAAGCTGTTTGCTTCACATTCTAAAAGAATATAGGAAAAAAAATGACCTTGGCCACAGGTCGACCAAGCTTAACTCTTTGAGTCCCATGGAACGCATCATACGTTCATAGATTCATACCTAGAAGGGCAATAAATGATGCGCCGATTTTATGTCTTTCATGACTACCGCTTGGTACTCTGATGCTAAACCCTCTGGGACTCAAAGAGTTAAAATGAATACCAGGTTATGCCCTGAGAAATAAAGGCAACTGGCAGTATGTTGACCACATCACCGATCAAGGACCGATATGTCTATACAAATATTTGGTTATAAATATGACTTACCTTTTTAATGTCAATATTCTTTGAAGCTGTGCCCAGCTCTATTGATCTTACTCTCTGACCAAATGACAAAGTGCAGACTGTTTCATTGACATTCTTTTGTACAGGCGACACCTGCACTATCATCAAGGTTTTGCTGTCACCACCTGGTCAAGGTTAGATCTGTTGTATTGAACTGACTATTCAAGCCCTTACTTCACTGCAACGGTACCCCACATATTAAATAAACTCTAAGGCATCTATCTGTGACGATCCCAGTTTGTACATACCTTACTAAACACTATAAATGTTCTGTTTTGTATCATCATCATCATCATCAAGTACTTTGCCAGCTAGCGTAGGCATTCATGCATCTCCGCAGATGTTGGTTTTTGGTGTCATGGAATTATTCCACTAATGATGTTCCTCTCTAGCTCATTCCTCCATGTGTTTTTGTCTTCCTTTATTTCTATGCCCCTGTGGGTTCCAGTGCAAAGACATTCTAGTTATATTGTTCTCAGGTTTTCTCAGCGTGTGTCTTATCCAAAGCCAGCATCTTTTCTTCACCTCTTGGTCCAGTGGAATTTGTTTAGTTCTCTCCCAAACCTCTACATTAATAATTCTATCCTACCATAAAGGGTCTTAATATGTTACATTCAGACAGCAGAATTGATTAGTTACACATTTTCAATAAATATATTGTTATAGTCATTGATTTAGCAATACAATGTATAGCAATTTGTATTAATCAGGTGTCATCTCCACAATGGAGGTCTGGCTACAATGGATCTCTAACATGCTCTGTCTTTTGCCTTGGATGTACACTCTCTCCGACTACTGTTCATCTATATCTTGATGTATTCCTCCTACTTGTACTGCTGTCTGCCTCTTGTGTACCTGCCTTCAACTTATCTCTCCAGAATGGTTTTTGACAACTACCACATTGTTTTAACAACAAAAAGTAATTTAGCCTTGTCCATATCAGTCAATCAATCAGATTCCATCTCCATAATGTAGGTTGGCTGCAGTGGATCTCCATTAGGCTGTCTTTCACTCTGGGTGTACTCTCTCAGACTGCTGTTTTTCCATCACTTGATGTAATCCTCCCACATGTATCACTGTTTTCCTCTTGCTCGCTTGCATTCAACCTTTCCCTCCAATATGTTTTTTAAAGAGTGTTATATCTTTTTTGTGACCAAAATATTTCAATTGTATCTTTTCAATTTTTTAAAGCAGCTCTAAATTCATTCATTGTCTCTTCAGAACCTCTGTACTTGATCGTTTCTGTCTCAGTTTATTTCTGTATGTTCCAATCTCCAGAGGCGCAGGTCAATATTTCTAATTTACACAGCAATATACATTTCGTCATTACTAACTCTGTAGTTTAAAGTCTTTCACTAAGTTTGTGGGTCAAAGACTTTGACTAAGTTTGTGGGTCAACGACTTTTACTAAGTTTGTGGGTCAACGACTTTTACTAAGTTTGTGGGTCAAAGACTTTTACTAACTTTGTGGATGGAAGACTTACCAAGGGAATCCTGTAGTAAATAGGTCAGCTTGGAGTTTCGATATGGCACATGACTGTGCTTGTTTCTCAGGGCATGGATGACATCCCCCAAACAGGCAAGAGATTTGTTTATATTCTGAGCTTCTTTTAAGTGGATCCCGTCTGCCATTGACTTGCTTACTCTTTCAGAACCTGCTAGGTCAACCAAATTTAAATGCCCTGTGGAGATTCACAGACAAAAGAAAAGGTCAGTTAAACTGAAATTATGATGTTAAATATTACTACTTAGTTTTAGATGGGAAGCTGAAATATTTTGGTCATATCCAGCGCCACGATGGATTGGAAAAAAATTATAGCAGAAGGCATGGTACCAGGAAGGAGAAGCAGGGGCTGACCGACACGAAGATGGGCACAGGATATAAGTGACTCCTTTGAATACGAAAGTACATAAGGTGGGAGAGCTGGTGAGAGACCAAGTTTCTTTCAGGCAGACTGTGATGAGAACGACGTTCTGCAAAGGACCTGCTACATAATGATGATGTTGAGTAATAGATGTTATAATTGAAGTAAGTGAACATTGTTTTGCAAAAGCTGCACACACAAAAGAGCTGAACTGGAATAGACCATGAGGCAGACTAAGAAAATATTGGAGAGATGATGCAAATGAACTTGGAGTCACCAGCAGGATGAAGACCAATCTAGAGATGAAAAGATGCAATTAACATCTGCAACAATAAGCTGTAATGACTCAGAAAGCTGAAGAAGAAAAAGAAGAAGAAGAACTTTTTATTATTACAGAGAAAGCTAATGTAATATTTGAAAAAAATAAATTTATTGGGAAATACTCTAACTTTATACATGTGTCAATAAACAAGATTGGAAATAATCTAATTAATCTGCCTGTCCCAACCACAATGAAGTACATGGGGAGATAGGGATTACATGATAGCTTTCATAAAGGCTGCTGGTCTCCTGTTTAAAGTTTTTTAACAGAAGGATCAAAGAAGAAGAAGATACACACTATATCTTACACAATCTCTCTCTTTCTCTCTCCCTCACTCTCTTTTTTTTTTTTTTAGTTGCGTATCCTTTACAGGACGTTACAGAACCAACCCCAACAGCCCCTGGCTGATGTGTGGTTTCTCTAGGCAAGTTACATCCAGTAGTTTGCCATTGCTTTCTGGACGGTCAGCTTTCTTGATACCACTGTCGAAACCAACGCAAGGCACATTGCCCGCAGCTGGGATCGAACCTAACATCCCGGCTTTACGAAGCGAGCGTTCGCATCGACTTAGCCACAGAGCCGACTCTCTAAATACACACGTGTCAATAAGACAAGATTGGAAATAATCTAATTAATCTGTAATTGGGAAATACTCTTTAACTATACACACGTGTCAATAAGACATGATTGGAAATAATCTAATTTATCTGCAATTGGGAAATCTCTAACTATACACATGTGTCAATAGGACAAGATTGGAAATAATCTAATTATTCTAACTCAAAATGACATAAATATTTCAGAAAGAAAACTGTAAAGCATCTTGATGTTACCTTCCAATGTATAGTACCTTGTGAAGCACAAGACGAGTTAAAAGACTAGCAGTGATTTTACATTCACCTTTGCAATTAAACACCACCACTATTTTTTACACCTTATCATAGATCCATCTGTGCAAATAATAATACTCACCCAGCGATCGGCTTCCTGTGGTGGGGTTACGACCTGTAACTGTGATGCAGAGGAGACAGTGTGAGCGAGATGAGTGCTCATTCATGTTTGTGGAGGCAGTAGCTCTGTTTCTCCTGCCTGTCTCAAAAATCTGTAGTAAAGACAGTATGATAAATATTCTCTACGTGGTCATGGATATTGTTCTGCTTTTAAGAGATATTATTATTAAAAACAGAACAGAAAATAGTTTGCCCACATAAAATGGAAGCCTTGTGACACCATACTATACAAAGACTAAAAGTGGACATGGATGGAGAGTACAAGTCGACCAAAAACAAGATGGAAAGATAGTCACAGAAACTACAACAGTATGATGTGTATGTGTATAATGTAAGAAGCAGAACCTTTTATCTCCTTTAACACCTCTTCGCAATGGCATCCTGCTTCCATGAATCCACCTCAGTAGCTCAATACCTAACCAATACACCAAAATAGAATCATCTGCCTAGTTGTCTTTGTGATTAGTTGTCTTTGTGATTAGTTGTCTTTGTGATTAGTTGTCTTTGTGATTAGTTGTCTTTGTGATTAGTTGTCTTTGTGATTAGTTGTCTTTGTGATTAGTTGTCTTTGTGATTAGTTGTCTTTGTAATTAGTTGTCTTTGTGATTAGTTGTCTTTGTGATTAGTTGTCTTTGTGATTAGTTGTCTTCCAATTACTAATTCTGGCTGTTTTATTATTTACTCCTGAAATGTTACTGGTCAATAGTTATTCTGATTCCCCATTGTTTTAATTTAATGTAAGAACATAATATAATTATCATAATTCATAATGAAAGATACTTTTAGGCTAATTTATATTCATTCTTGTTTTCAACATTAAATAGTTGGTTCATCTGGGCAAAAACAGTTACAAAACAACAGCAATGAAGAACTTTTATGAAACAACAGCAACAAAAATAGAATGGTATACACTGAAAACACAACTGACAATATGTATCCCACTGTTTGATATTAAGAGAAAAAAGTTACTACTTTTTAATAGTAACAGTTCAACTTCATAGATTATTCTATGTTTTAAGAGTGTATTTGGGTTTTAAAACTCTGAGACAGATGGGAGCTACACGAGGTTTCCTGTAGCCTTCTTAGGCTCTATCTTTCCATTTCTGGGGATCCATATAAGGCTGAAATTCTCTGCTGGACTAGTTCTGTTTTTTTTTTTTAACTTTTTACTTTAATTAGTTGCTTCTCTTCTACCTTGAGATGTACAGATTTGCCAGAGAGATCACTCTATCAGCAGTTTTCTTTTTAGCTTTGTTCCCTTTAAGTCCTCTGTCAATCAGGGCCTGATCTAGTGGACGATTCTCTCCCATTCTGAATACATGTCCCAACCACCATATCTGTGACCGATCTACTTGAGTTTGTAGGGCCTGGGTTTCAGGGTCATGACATACTGTTTGCGAACTTTGTCCCTTCCTGTCACTTGGACCACCTTTTCCAGAGACCTCATTTCTGAGGCCTGAAGCTGGCTTCTGTGAGCTGGTTGTCGTCACTTTTATATTCTATGACTATTTCACTCATCTATCTAAGTGTGAAGATGAGGTCTTGAGCACTTCCGTTTGCTCTGAAGTCACACTGGGCCTGATCCAGCTGTGGTTTCCACCAAACATCTTAGTCTCTGTTCGAGAATTCTAGAGTAACTTTTACCAGGAGGAGATATGCCTCTGTGGTTTTTACATTGTCTGTTATCACAATATGTAATATTTCACAAATGCTTTGTTTCAAATGTAGTGGTGTCCCTTCTGAAAAAAACAACAAAGCAGTCTAATGGGCCAGCTCCTGGTCTCTACAATAATGCCCAGGTTTTGTGCTCTAGAGATGATGAATTTGATCTCTGCCCTTGACTGGTTGAGATTCATTTGCTTCTCTATAACACAATATAACACTATTTTCTTTAAAGACAAAAAGATCAATGAAAGTTAGACCTTAATTCTTTGCCTAGTTCTCTACTTTCTCCTCTGGATTTTGAAGCAGACAGGAGGCTGTTGTGTTTTCAGTGGCTGTCTAAACAGCAAAGCCATCGTTGAGCTTTAGTTAAATATAGCTCTAGTTCAGGTAGGTTGTAGGAGACTTGTTAGCAACAATATTTAATAATGTCGGTTATGTAAATCACGAAGAGCCTAGGCTCTTTTATGCAGCGCCGAGAGACTCCCCCTCTGACCGACTGAACAACTTAACAGTAAAGCTAAAGATGCTATGTTTTCAAATTTTGTCATATCCTTGGTTGAGAAATTCCCTTATTTAACAAATACGTGTTGTGAGTAACTGCTGCTTGTAGAAGTGTTAGCTCAGTCAATCCTTCCGCTCATTGACAATGTATGGGAAAATAACAACAAAACTCATGAATAACATATTCTTTAATGAAAAAGATTAATCTGATTGGTTATATTATTTCTTTGTTTATTTTGAATATTAAGCAAAATCATTGCAATGGTACCAGCATTTTGTCAGAATGATATTTCTCTCTCTTTCTCTCTCTCTACCGCTGTCTTATTTTTTTCTTTCAATTCCTCATAACTGAACCTGACACTGCTACCAACCCCCTTCTCCACCTCCCCAACTGTCCAACCGCACCCTGGGTGGGGCGGTAGCGTCCACTTTGGGAAACACTGGTCTAAACAAATATGAGGAAATTCAATGCGCAAGTGGTGTGAACAAGGGTCCTTTACTTAGGGGGAAAAAAAAATAGTAAATATTTTGTCTTACAATAAAAGGGATTATGATCATCATTAGTTTTTTGCCTGATTAACCGTTAACACATCTTAGGCTGTAATAAACAATTCTGACACATACATTTTTTTTTTCGGGATGGGGGGTGGGTGTGTTTTGACTATTGCAATGAAGGTAGCTTTGATTTTAGCCTGATTTACAATAACCACGATTTTTTAATAATAATGTGTTTATTACATAACTCTTACCTGATTGACCATTGACAAGTCTGAGACGGTTGCTGCAAACAATCCTGGCACATGAAAACCTCCTTCTGGCTTCATTTTCACTTCCAGTTTGTTTTCTTGATCAGGGTTTAGGAGATCTCTGCATGTTTTTAAGTAAAAAGTTGAATGTATATTTTTAACAGAAATTTGTGTTTTAAACTGCTAACATTAGTGATTTAAATAGTATTATTTTTATTTTTATTTTTAACCATCTAATACAACAACCATATTAATAAATGCATTCACATTAAAGAAAAGTTTCAATCAAAAATTGTCTTCATATTAATAAAATGGCGCATGCTTATGCATAAGAATAATTGTTTGTAATGAAAGTGATCCTTTACAGAAAGATCCTTTACAGTTTACTGTAAGCCCCAAAAGCCTACAGATTTTTTTTTTAGATGTAAAGTAGCCTGATTAAAAATCCAATGTACACTAATCATGACAGCTCAAATAAAAATTAAAAAGTAATGTTCTGAAGCATTTACATTCCTTGGGGGGTATCCCTGTCTGATGAGACCATCAACATCTAAGTATAATCACCACAGCTTCTATAAAGTAGTAGTAATTTAAAGAATGATATCCTGTTCAACCCATCTAGATTATAATTAGAACATATAAAGTTTTATTTTTCTATTTCAATACTGTATATTTCGCCTTGTAATTATTTTTTGGTTATTTAACAGTGCATAGATTATGTATTAATTGTAACAGATTGTAGGAGTATATATCGTTGAAGTCAGTATATTATAACAGCTCCCATTAGGATTCCATATGAAGATTTGAATTTAGGTTCACCGTGAGGTAAAAAAATTAAACACCTTGTAGGACAAAACTACTTGGTGACAGGGGAGGTTTCAAAGTGAATCTTTTTTTGGCATCCTGATTATGTTTCAATACAAAGTAATGAACAAAAACAAAACAAAAACTCAGGCTTTAAGAGTGCTAATAGTTGAAACATTCAGGATTGACAAGGTGATATTCTGAAGACAAGTCATGACTTTTAGTAGAAGATACAGTAACAAAAGAAACAAGACTGATGATAACTGTGTCTGGATTTATGTGTGGTTCCAGTAAGAACCATGAGTTAATAAATAGCATGCACAAGCATGTTATTGAAGTAAACAGTGTCTACACATTGAGATATTTATTCAACATACAAACTATATTTATTTGCTACAATTCTCACACTGGTAATTATACAGATGGCTATGTGTTTAGCAACAACAACAAAAAGTGCATGGGGGTCAAAGCAAAAGTGAATGTATGACCCTTGGTGCAAAAAAAAAAAAAAACATTGAGATATTTATTCAACATACAACATATATTTATTTGCTACAATTCACACACTGGTAATTATACAGATGGCTATGTGTTTAGCAACAACAACAAAAAGTGCATGGGGGTTCAAAGCAAAAGTGAATATATGACCCTTGGTGCAAAAAAAAAAACACACACACACACCCCCCCCCCCCCCCCCCCCCCCCCAATTTGATACAACATCTAGTTTGAGAATGGAGGCAATGGCTTAAAATTCGGCTGTACATACATGTCATGGTTCTACCAGACTCACAAAGCAGGTTGCCAAATGTGGAGACAAGTATGTTCCATGCAGAGTAGCAATTATTACTTCAGAGACCCTGAGTAGTTAGCATCTTTTGGATATTTTCTCCATGGCATGCAGATGTGTTGGGAAACAAACAGAAAAACTGACTAGATGGTTCTGAACCACCTGGTGGTAAACTGGTGTTTGAGAAACTAGATGTTATCAAGGTCCTTTAGTAACGGGTGAACAGTGCAGAGGCATACACAGATCATCATGTTCTGAAGAGAAGTGTGCAGCAGGCAGTGACTGTTTGTGGGGGTGGCAAGAGGGAGGGTAGCTTCATGTTCAACACTCAGGAGAAGGGCAAGACAAACATACAGTCAGACTGCTAATATGGCAATGGAATCACAACTCTGAATGGGGACAGAGTGCTTATGGGAATTTCCCCAATGCCATGTGGTCAGCTTACATAAAATGTACATTTTACAATAAATCAGCATTATGCAAACATTGACTAAAAACAGATAAATGACACGTTTTTTAAATTTTTTACAACATCCAAATAAAGCACTCAAAGAAAAATTGCTAAAGAAATGCACACGAATGCATGCACTGAAAGTATCTACCTGATAACCTCATTGTAAATTTCCAGAACGCTTGCTGTGATCTCATACTGCCAGTTTTCATCAACAGTTTCTTCAAACAACAGCTGAAGTGCTCTCTGGTTTATTCCAGGATCAGACACTGGGCCCTGAACAGAAATACAAGCAAATTTATTTAATGTACTTACGAAAATTAGTTATTAAAAAAAAAAAAAAAGCTTGAGTTTAAAATCAGATTTAAAATTATTTGAAAAAAAAAGTTCAACTATGCATTGGGCATTTTTCATAATTTTCCTATTTTATATAAATCTACTGATACTCATTAAAAAAAAGAACAAAATATAAAGACTGTAATCTAGCAGGTATTTTGATGGAGGGAACTAAGGTGTGTCTCATCCTAAGTAAAAAATGTAGCTGCAAAGTACAATTATATAATATATAGTGGACAGACACAGAATCAGAGGTAGACAAAGAGAGAAAATTTTGGTTTAGCAATAAGCAGAAAGTTGTGGACAGACACAATGACAAATGCCACATTGCATGGACTAGTAGAATTAATTTAGCCTTGGTCATGATAGTCAATCAGTCAGATGCCATCTCCATTATGAAGGTTTACTGCAAAATGTAAAGTTAAAGGTAAAGTCAGGAGATGGTTTACTGTAATGGAACTCCACCATGCTTTCACCGTTTGCCCTGGGTATATGTAAACTCAGACACATTTCTCATTTTTAATGTCCCCTTCACTTCTGCCAGCCTCTGCTACTGCTATATATAACATAGGAGTAACTTGTTTTAATGTATCTCCGTATTTTCATTGTGGCTGCTCCTTTCCATTGTTAATTATTATTATTATTATATATATATTTTTTAAATATTACTCGTAGTTTCTTATCCATACTCTGCTCTTTGCCTATATACTTGTTTCACTAGGTTTTGTAACTGGTACTCTTTGTCTGCTAGTAACATTGTTTCACCTGCACATCTTAGATTCTTGTCCATATGCAGTGTCACAATTATAGGACACGTATGCTAAAACATGATAGCTCTCTCTTCACATTTCCAGACAGTTCACTTATATAAGTTTAGAGTGTTGTGAAATCTCCATACATTATTGTACTTACTCATGCAAATGCGTGTTGCTAATATTTTCTTTATTTTATATTATATACATGTATGATTAACATTGGATCTTCATGCTTGTTTTATTGATTGTAGCAAGGCATTTGATTGTGTCCAACACCACAAATTGTAGACTATTATGAAAAGTATGGGGTTTCCAGCGCATTTAGTGCATTTAATTGAAAATCTTTATCATGAACAACAAGCAGCCATCAGAGCAGCTGGTGAAACATCTAATTGGTTCGAGGTGCAAAAGGGGGTGAGGCAGGGGTGCATTCTCTCACCATATCTATTCAATATATACGCAGAACATATAATGAGAAATGTCAAAAATGACCAAACTTGTGACAGTTATGATCTGCTCAAAATTAGTGGCAACCCTATTCCGGAACTCCGCAACGCAGATGACACAGTCCTCCTTTCGAACAGTGTAAAAGGAATAGAAAGTTTAATATTGTCTGTCCAAAAGCACACTGAAGATCAAAATCTGTTCTTGAATTTAAAGAAAACGAAAATAATGTCGACAGATAAAACTGGCTGTCACCCAAAAATAACAATAAATGATGAAGAAATTGAAAATGTCACAAACTTTGAATATCTAGGCTCTATAATAAACAACAATGGAGACTGTTCGATGGAAATTAAAAGGAGGATGGCTATAGCAATGCAAATATTGAACAACTTTAAAAGTCTATGGTTAAGCACCAGCAAGGAGATAAAAATTAGAATTTGTGAGAACATGCATCTTCCCTGTGGCTACATACGGATGTGAGTCGTGGACTATCTCTTAGTCCTTAAGAAAGAGAATAGGGGCTTTTGAGCTGAAATGCTATTGAAAGATTATCAGAATATCTTGGACAAAGAACAGGAGAAATACTCACATCTTGAAAGATCTGAACATCAAGGAAGATTGGCTAATAAACAGCATCCTTTCTCGAAAGCTGAAATATTTTGGTCATATCAAGCACCACGACGGATTGGAAAAAATTATAGCAGAAGGCATGGTACCAGGAAGGAAGGGCAAGGGCCGACCAACACGAAGATGGGCGCAGGATATAAGTGACTCCTTGAGTGTGAAAGTGCATGAGGCGGGAGAACTGGCGAGAGACCAAGTTTCTTTCAGGCAGACTGTGATGAGAGCGACGTTCTGCAAAGGACCTACTACATGATGATGATGATTAACATATGCTTTTCAACTACTGGACATCTTTTTTTTCCAAATGAGTTTACCTATCTCATTTATCTTGCACAGGAGCATGTCCTTAACCATTTTACACCAAACCTGCTAAACTTATTACTATTTCTGACAGCTTTTCCATGTTTTCTTTTGCTTTTTTATATCAGTAACTCTTTAAACGCCGCTGGAACTATGTCGGCCACGCCCTTAGAATGGATAAATCAAGACTTCCTTACCAAGCCCTCATTTGGACACCACAGGGGAAAAGATCTCGTGGAAGGCCAAGGGAAACCCTACGTAAAACTATCATCAGGGAAGGCTCGCTCATGGGCCACTCAAACATCCAAGACCTACAACAGATTGCAACGAACCGCCATGCATGGAGAGTCATGACCTCTGCCCTATGTGCCGCACTCGACACAGGAGGAAAGACTAACTAACTAACTAACTAACTCTTTTTCCCCCGTCATCTGGTCATTATTGGCATGAACAATAAATCTGTTTTTGAGTTCTTGTTCAGTGTGGTTCCTGAGAAGAATGTTGAGAATACCTTGGACTGCTAGACTAACCAACAATGAATGCCTGGAAATGGCTAATGAAAGTAGAACATTATATACAACAATGAGAAGGAGACAAACAAAGTTCTTTGGTCACGTGATGGGAAACGAAGCACTGAAAATATCATGATGACTGGAAAGATCACTGGTAGAAGAGGCAGAGGTGGACCAAGAGAAATAATGGTGGATGGCTTAAGATAGTGGCATGGAGGAATATCATCAGTGGAATTAATCTAGAACACCAAAGAACGCGATCTGTGGAGACACATGAATGCCTAGGCCAGCTGGCAAAGCACTTGATGATGAATCAGTCTGTTACTGCTGTTTATGTCAGCCATAAATAAAACCAATCAATGAATCATCACTGAAACTTACCTCCATGGTATAAGTTTTCCCTGATCCAGTCTGGCCATAGGCAAATATACAAACATTGTATCCATCTATTACGGATCTAACTAAAGATGAGACTTCATCAAAAACCTGTAACATACAATCATACAATGTAAAGGTGAAACAAACACAGCACTGATTTCTAAAAACATTTTTAGATGTTGTCTATATCAAAGGGAGACACCGTGGTGTAGCAGCAAGACACTCGACTGCAGATCGGAAGGTCATGGGTTCAGATCCTGATAAAGTGGGACCTCTTTTGAAAAATGATCTTGGCTGCCAGGTCAACCCAGCCTTGAGTGGGTACCAGGTACAAGTCCTTGAAAGTAATGGTGGTCAGTGGGTGACCAGATCACCCACCAAGTGCCGAATTGTTCTATAAAATTTAGGTCTAGCCCTATACGCCTGTTACACCTGATAGCGTGTAGAAGTGTCGTTACTATACTTTTACTTTTTTCTGTATCAACACATTCATAATTTCTTTCGAAATATGTAAAATTATGATGATTTTAAAATACCATCTTTTAGGGAAAATAGATGTTGAGTATTTTTTATTTTTTCTTGTGTCATTTTTTTTTCAGCTTCAGGAAAAAGCTGACTGAGTTGTTAGACCACTTGACTCTCATATGGGAGGCCTGGGTTTGATCCTCAGTAAGGTTTAGTAATTCTTTTTTTCTGTTAGGCGGCAAAATAAATTATAATCTGCACAGTTTAGGGTGACTACTTACTAACCATGAAGCTTCAAATTGCCAGGCCCACTACCCTCTTCCATGTAGTTGTTAATGCTTCTCTATTTATACTTTCCTCTTGAAAATGATATTTACTGTTCTAATTTCTTTTCCAGAATTTGACAAAATTGACTTTCTATAATTCTGCATCTCTGTTTATTCTTTACTCTTGGAAATGCTCTTCTTCTTCATAAAGTCCATGCCCTGTGGAGTTAATAGTCATGTCTATCCACAACCTTTTGTCTCGTGTACTTTCTGTCAACTTTGACACAGATGATCTTCCATGCCATGATATGATGTCAAAGTGTCCAGCATCTGTTCTCTCGGTCTCCCTCTACCTCTCCTCCAGCTTTTCTACTGTCACGATGTACTCCAGTTTTCTCCATCTCATCACATGATCAAAGAATGCAGATTGTCTCTTTCTGATGCGGGCAATCAGTTCTCTTCGTGAGTCAGTTTCTAAAGCTATCAAATGCTATTAACTGTTTTGATTTCTTTTCCACTGTATTGCCGACAGAATGCATTAACAAGATACTTTCTACCCATTGCCACAAACACTATTCTTACTAACAAAGTAAGGATCCACCATGGTTTAAGAGCAGCCATGTCTTGCACACTTATGGGGCAAATATATGAATATGCTAATGAACGTGCTTCTTGTCTGTATGAAAGGAAACAAGTCACCCCTAGTTCCCAGCTTTATTTTCTGTTTCATCATCATCTTCTTCTTCTTCTTCTTCTATGCTCCAGTGGGTTCCAGTGCAAAGACATTCTAGTTATATTGTTCTCAAGGAACAAAGGATTCTTTACTTTTCTTTTCATCTTCATTGTTTACATCCTCTTCCTTTTTCTTCTTCTTTTTCCTTCTCCTCTTCTTTTTCCTTCATTTGACATTGAAAGGGCAAATGGCTCACTGTGTTGTGGTTTACAGCTAGTCTGTGCCTTTCAGCCCAACACATCAAATTTCAGCTAATCTTTAATTAGACACCCCCCCCCCCCCCCTCCACACACACACACAAATATTAATGAGGCTCTGAAATTCACCCAGAGACAACTTGATGTAATCAAGTTTTAACACCAGCAACAACCAGTTTTTGTTATCTTTACCTGACATTGTGTACAATCCATGCCAAAAGCCCTGTCTACATCAAACAACTGCATCCGCCCTTTGTTGTTGATTTTAATCAGTGTGTCATCTTCAGAATCCAAGGTCACAACAATAGTATCATCTTCATAGCCATCTTCTTTAATCCAAGGACGAATGCGACACAGTACCCGAATGTTACCTAAATGCATCAATTACAATGCTACAATCCATGGGTAAACAATTAATAAAATATGGACTAGTAAAGTAACGGCATGATGTTGACCCCATCACCCACCACTTCGGTCAAAATGGACGTTAGGCAGCGGCACTGTTCGAAACAAAGGCAAATTTTTTGCTTCTGCCGGACGGTGGCCGATGCATTTTTGCTCCATTTGTAGACTTGATATAGTTTCGTCGCCCAGCTTCTGAGTTGAATGCATGGCGTGACCCTGTGAGCTGCGGATTGCATTTGGAATGTTTTTTCGACTGTGACCAATGCGTTGGAGTGAATTGTAGATTCAGAAAATGGCGCGATGCCTGTCGTGCAGTGTTGTGGTGCCCGTATGTGATTAAAATTGATAGCGTGGGCAACTGCTGATCTGTTGGCGACTTCTGCTACCATCAATGATGAACTACAATTCTAATACTGTGATAAACATTCTGTGTGTTTTTCGTTGGCACTGGAGCAGAGCAAAGATGGGGCGACCCGTTTGCTATGAAGCTGAAACTAAGACTACCAGACTACCAGACCCACCACGTGCCCACTGGTCTATAAAATATAGATCTAGCCCTAAATGTCCAATAAGCCTGAAGGTGTGGAAAAGGATTCTTTCTTCTTCTGCCTCTCAAACCCCCAATGGAGCAAAGGCCCTCAACCAACTCACGTCTTCGTCCTACAGGAGTATCCTTCATTATCGCATACAGCTCTCTTCAAGTCCTCCCCATCCATTTAATTTCACTCTCTAGCTGTTTTCTCCATGTGTTTTTTTTTTTTTTTTTTTGGTCTCCCTTTATTTCTATGCCCCTGTGGGTTCCAGTGCAAAGACATTCTAGTTATACTGTTCTCAGGGAAGAAAGGATTCTTTACTTTATTTATTTTACTAAGAGTAGAGAGGAAAATTTTTAATGTGGCACATGTTGAATATGATGATAGACTCATGATTGTTTAGAGCAATCAGCACTAATGGGTAATTTAATTAACATCATGCCAACTACCTTTACTTGAGACAACAACACTTAAAAAACCATACTGGAGAAAAAAGAAGCAAGCGAGCCAGAGGTAGAAATTTATGTAACTAGGAGGATAAAATCAGAAGGTAGATGATCAATATTCTCAGAAAGTGTAAAAAATGAGGATGAGAATTTGAGAAAATTGGAGATCCAGTATGCCAGCCTTCATTGTGGTGATGTCACATGACTGGATGTCTTAGCTATACTCTCAATTTCAATCAAATAAGTTAAATAATAAATACAGTAATAAAAAGGAATATAATTAAATAATGAATACAATAAGAATATAGATGCAACATCTAGATCTGAAAAGAAAAGGAAAATCATGCACAGCTAATACTGTCTGAGGAGACTTCTTCTTAAGCATTCCGAGCTTTTGAGATTCATTGCTGCAGATATCACCCGCCTCCATTCATCTCTCTAATTGGCCTTCTCTTTCCAGTTGGTGACACCAAGTGTTTGCTGGTCTATCTGGACGTTATCTCTTGGGAGCTTGCTTAAAAGTCGGAGTGCATCTGCCTGGGAGGCAAGGAATCAACATTCTGCATACAAATAAGCAAGATCTGTCAAATGGATGCACATGCAAAACTCAGGTCCTGGAATTAAGCTTAAGTCCAGAAATGGACGAACTATCAGGTCTTTCCGCCAGCATTTACAGCCGGGGAACGCAAACAACAAACAACAACAGTACAAGAGAAAACATCTGTTTGCAGAAGAAGAAAAAAACCGGGAGAATCGTAAGTCTTACAGGTGTATACCAAAATTTAAGGAAAATAGAGTTGAGTTGTGTCAAGAATTGATATCATAGCACTCGGGGCTTTCCAATGCATGCTCTGTCCTTATCTTCAGCAGCCAGCGCAGAGTTCCAATGCTGATTACACCGGTCACAATCTGGTTTTATGTCCGTCCTGCTCTTCCTCTGTAGTGAGCCGAAAGATTGTAGATCAGGTCACTTAAGAATTGTTATTTTATCATTGTAGGATGATAGAATAATTGTAGTAAATAACTGAGAAAAAAAACACACAAAAGGAAGCAATACCTCGAAGCTCGACCAGTTCGTTATGGTATTTTTTCCGCAACTTCATCTCTCTGAGGTACTTCTCTACTACTTCTTTATATTTGGCATTCATCTCTGTCAAGGATTTCTGGACCTAAACCAACAAGTACACAAATATTATATCAGAATATATTTCTTTGTGGACGTACATGCAAAATGACAGGTCAGTGAGTGGAGTGACAGACAGTTTGAGAGGTAAACAGTGTTTTGCAGACAGAATGAGACAAGAATTATTGATATACATACAGACATAATGACAGACACACATAACAACACACATACACACAGAGGTACATACTTTACACAGATGGACAGAACTAACACAGATATAATGACACAGACAAACAGATGACAAACAGTCTGCCAGCCACTGCACTACCACAGCTCATTTTAACATTTAATTAGTAGTATTAGTACCCACTGAAATGGTTGGGGCATACCGAAAGAATGTTAGGTGACAGAGAAGTAAAAACTGCATACACGAGGGAGATGAATGGTTGTAGACCACAAGAAGACTATGAAGAGATAATATCCAGACAGACCTGCAAACACTTGGTGTCACCAACTGGAAAGAGAAGGCCAACCTGAGAGATGAATGGAGGCGGGTGATATCTGCAGCAATTAACCTCAAGGTCTCAGAATGCTGAAGAAGAAGAAGAGAAGTATTAGTACCCATTCACTAATAAAGAACTAGGACGGAAGACGTTCATCACTGGCAAACGTTATCAAAAGAAGAAGCTGAAGATGACTTTGACATGTTTGTGGAATGCCTTATGACTAGACAGCTCTGCTTTAGGCCTTAGTTAGAAAAAAAAGATGACCTAAGGAAACCTACAGAAGAACGGTAGAAATGAACAGAAAATGAAGGAGTGTAAGTTGGCATGAGGTACCATGGGCAGAAAAGCAGCACACTGGCAGCACAGGAAGTGACCAAGAAGGCCTCATGTGTCATAAAAAATCTGAAGAGGATGTACACACAGACACAGACAGATTAGTATCAATCTTATCACCTGTAGTGGTAATCTTGTAAAGCTGCATTTTTCAAATGTTTTATTTCCTTCTTTTTTGTTTTTAGATTTTATTCAATTTATTTTCTGGCTACAAAAGCGATAGCTACGGGAACACTCGTACTGGACCAGGGAGACACTGGGAAGACAATAAATGAACGAATGTTGATAGAAGACACGAGGTAAAATGAAATAGAATTTGTAAAAATGTGTGAACAAGGAATTAGGAGTGGATTCGGCAATGACAGGCGTATGAGAGGAAGAGAATGATGTGTGTATAATCAGTGTGCTATGGAGAGAACGATGTATGCATGTTCAATGTGCTATGGAGAGAACGATGTATGCATGTTCAATGTGCTATGGAGAGAACGATGTATGCATGTTCAATGTGCTATGGAGAGAACGATGTGTGCATGTTCAATGTGCTATGGAGAGAACGATGTGTGCATGTTCAATGTGCTATGGAGAGAACGATATGTGCATGTTCAATGTGCTATGGAGAGAACGATGTATGCATGTTCAATGTGCTATGGAGAGAACGATGTATGCATGTTCAATGTGCTATGGAGAGAACGATGTATGCATGTTCAATGAGCTATGGAGAGAACGATGTATGCATGTTCAATGTGCTATGGAGAGAACGATGTATGCATGTTCAATGTGCTATGGAGAGAACGATGTATGCATGTTCAATGTGCTATGGAGAGAACGATGTATGCATGTTCAATGTGCTATGGAGAGAACGATGTGTGCATGTTCAATGTGCTATGGAGAGAACGATGTATGCATGTTCAATGTGCTATGGAGAGAACGATGTGTGCATGTTCAATGTGCTATGGAGAGAATGATGTATGCATGTTCAATGTGCTATGGAGAGAACGATGTGTGCATGTTCAATGTGCTATGGAGAGAACGATGTGTATATGTTCAATGTGCTATGGAGAGAACGATGTATGCATGTTCAATGTGCTATGGAGAGAACGATGTGTGCATGTTCAATGTGCTATGGAGAGAACGATGTGTGCATGTTCAATGTGCTATGGAGAGAACGATGTGTGCATGTTCAATGTGCTATGGAGAGAACGATATGTGCATGTTCAATGAGCTATGGAGAGAACGATGTTTATGTTCAATGTGCTATGGAGAGAACGATGTGTGCATGTTCAATGTGCTATGGAGAGAACGATGTGTGCATGTTCAATGTGCTATGGAGAGAACGATGTATGCATGTTCAATGTGCTATGGAGAGAACGATGTGTGCATGTTCAATGTGTTATGGAGAGAACGATGTGTGCATGTTCAATGAGCTATGGAGAGAACGATGTGTATATGTTCAATGTGCTATGGAGAGAACGATGTATGCATGTTCAATGAGCTATGGAGAGAACGATGTGTACATGTTCAATGTGCTATGGAGAGAACGATGTGTATATGTTCAATGTGCTATGGAGAGAATGATGTGTGCATGTTCAATGTACAAAGGAGAGAACAATGTGTGTATAATCAGTGTGCTATGGAAACAGTCGGCATTTACAGCTTTAGACATTTGCTGCAGAAGACAGAGCATCTATGGGTATACCTTGTGTACTATGATACCGATTATTAAATCAGTAATCAATTTATTCTACAGTAAAAAAAAAAAAAACCAATATTTATTCCAATCTTAATGTTAAAAAAAAAAAAGCACAAAGTTTTACCACAGCAAAAAAAAAAAAAAAATATGCACAACATAGTTATTTATTCCTTTTAAATTTCAACATTCACTAACCTCAATTTGCATTTCTTTCATACCACCCTCTATGGATGATGGAACAGCTTTAACTTCCCCTTTCAACGCCAGATAAGCACTTTTCACTTGCAGAAAGTCTTGGAAGACGCAGCCCAATATGTGATGAGTATTTGCCAGTACTTCTTTCAGTCTGTTCTTTTCTTTATCATCAGTCTTGTAAACAAACAAACACAATTAAACAATATAACATGTAAATTTGTCCATCCAGAGCATTCAAGAATAGAGTTTGTCAGTTACATCAGCACCAGTAGGAACTATTATTGTCATGACTGTAATTAATGCCTGTATTTGCCACTTTTGTGGGCAGGGGGTCTTGGAGCCTGAGGATTGTGGCCAGTGATCTTGCCATGAAATATGTAGGTTAGGGTTTTATTTTTGCTCCCTTCAGAAAAAAGAATCTACAACCTTACCGGGATTTGAAAATAGACAGACATACAGACAGAGATTGGTGGATAGATGGATGGATGGATGGATTGACAGACAGACAGACAAACAGACAGACAGACAGACAGAGATGCATGAATAAATAAATTGACAGACAGACAGACAGACAGACAGACAGACAGACAGACAGACAGACAGACAGACAGACAGACAGACAGACAGACAGACAGACAGACAGACAGACAGACAGACAGACAGACAGACAGACAGACAGACAGACAGACAGACAGACAGATAGAAATGAACAACAAAGTAATAAAATAAAACAAGTGTTTAAAATAAAAAAATACTGACAGACATTTAGACAAAAGGAAAAACAAAAAAGATGATGGATGGTGAATAAACAAAAAGCTAACTATGTATGCATACATACGGATGGAAAGGGATAAATTATTAGATGTTTAAGCATGTAAGTATGGAATGGTTGGTGGAAAGGTAGACACAGTAAGTAGTTAACATTACAGACACAATTTACCTCTTGTTGCAGTATTCCACCAAGGTATCCATTGTTTCCCAAAGTATTACAGCTATTGTCTGGCGATGTTTGGCTGACAGAGACATTGGAACTGTTCTTCATGGATGATGATATCAAGTCAGTTGTGTCAACTCCAAGACTGGACAATCTTTCACACAGTAGGGCATTTTGTTTTTGTAATTTCTGATACAGAAAATGTAAAGACAGTATTACTTTCAGTTTATAAATAAATGTCTAGACAAATTAATTATGCAGAATGCTGAAGTTCTCCTGAATTTGAGAATATTTAATTTTTTCTGCCCAAGGAATTTACAAACAGACCTACAAACACTTAAGAGTCATCCAAGAAATTGACAGACAGACCTACAAACACTTAAGTGTCATCCAAGAAATTTACAAACAGACCTACAAACATTTAAGTGTCATCCAATGAATTTACAAACATACCTACAAAGACTTAAGAGTGAACAACCGGAAAAAGGCAAATCACAGAGATGAATGGATGCCAGTGATATCTACAGCAATGAACTTCAAAAGCTTGAAATGCTGAGAAAAAGAAGTTTCTAGAAGTGAACTTTTTTTTTTCAATCCTACTACATTATTTCTGTAATGTAATAAAGAGGCCGTGTTAGTGCAGTCGAAACTAGACTCGCTTGCAAATCCAGCTGCGATTCACTGCAGCCCATGGCCGGTGTTTGAAACCGGATTGTTCCCGGGGTTCAAACAGCCTCTAGGTAATGGGTACCAGAGTGAACACTGTCGTATTGGAGGAACGTCGCTGTACCTACGGAGTTGCATGCGGACGGCGACACAGGCGGACAGTTTCTTATCAGCTGTCTGTACTGGTAGCAGAGCACTTATGGTTTATAACCGTGTGCAATGACGCTGGAACATACTTTACCTTTACCTTGATGAAAGTTAATGTCCTGTACAAGTGTAAAGTTAACATTTGTTGTACATCCATATACACTGAAAAAAACCCAGTTGTTTCCAGATAACATAAATCTTTACAACACATGCATTCCAAATGACATATAGATTAAAAAAAAAACCTGTCTCTATCCCCAGCGGGAAGTGGCCAGAAGATCTGGCCGACTCTCAACACAGGGAAAGGCAAGGCTGATATATAATTGGTCTGCTACAGGCTCCATCAGTATTTGGAACTCTGCAAGGTTGCTGAAGATGGGGGTGGAGCATTTATGGGAATATTCCAAGTTCTGTGATGTTGGTTCTTGACTCAACTCAACACGGAAGAGGGGGCGTAGAATAAATGACTTCACAGGGGCATCATACATCCTAAATATGACCCTGTTTGTAGGTACTAGCTCAATAAAAGGGAGGAGGTATATTTGTACATTTAAAGTTGAGGTAGAGAAGAGTGACATTACTGCACTAACTTTATCACACATGGCTGGGTCTCTCTCTGCAAAACAGCAAGCCACCCGCAGAGACTTGTGCACAGCATGCAAACTCCAAAGCTCCAGCAATGATCTCCGGGAGTCTCCGTAAAACTGGCACTCATGAACTGAACAATGCAGTCCAAGAATCAAACCATTACCTACAGAGCGTGAAGTAAAAGGCTTGATCGCTTCACCACAGAGATTCTCTGATGTAAAGTAGACAGTCCTCGGGCAGATAGGCTATTCCTGCTTGGGTTTCTTCTTCCTCTTCACGTTCACCAGCTGTAAATTCCAGCAGAAAATTGTGGGTGTTCATCCACTTCTAGACTTTAGTCTTGTTTCAGAATCTGAGTTTTGCTTGCACATACATTTTACAAATGATCTGGCCGATTTTTATACAGACTGTTGGTGCCTTGACTCTCAGGCAGATGCACTCCAACTTCAAAGAAAACATCGCTAATTATTCAATGACTTGCTTGTTAGGGGCGGTGAGTCTATCCCCTCCCCCCCCCCCCCCACAATGGGGCCCCAGAACACATGCATGGACTGTTTGGATGTGAAGTCCTAGCATTTACAAATGATAGGCCATGGCATAATTCAGGGAGGTGGATGGAAGGTAGTGGTGGGGAGTAGGTGGCTGGTGTTTTACACTGAGGTATACATGTTATTCACAAAGGAGATATGTTACCTGTATCTCTACACTTAGTAGATGTTTCACTCGTTTTATCTTTGCCAATTCCTTTTCTGTATCTGTTGTGCATGACTCCAACTGTTGAAGAAATCCGACATGAAATGAAAAAGAAAAAAAAAAACTTTGTAAAAGGGAAATGACAAAAGTAAGGGTGACAATTTGTGAAAGTGACAAAATTATTAAAGTGACGAAATTGTAAAAGAAGTGGGAAAATGGTTACAGTGATGAAACTGTACAAGAAGTGGAGAAATGGTTACAGTGATGCAGTGATAAAATTGTAAAAGAAGTGACAAAATAGTTCAATTGACGAAACTGTAAAAGAAGTGAGACAATGGCTACAGTGTCGAATATGTAAAAGAAGTGAGAAAATGGTTAAGTAAATGACAGAATGGTCGCAGAAAGTGAGAAAATGGCAAAAAAAAGTAACAGCATAGCAAAAGTTGACAAAATTTATTGAATACAACTATGTTGTGCAGAATATTCTACGGGGAAAAAAGTACAGCTATTGGCTACAATATCAGCTCTTTAAAAAGATACCAAAAATACTAGACCATGTAGTAAGAGTGTCATGCATAGACTGCCCTGTTTAGCATACTGAAGGTGTAGAACTTATGGAGAGTAAATTGCTAGTTAAAGACAAGATACTGGTGCTGGAATAATATGATAGGGACATCAGCTGATAGTATAAGTTAATTCTTTACATAAACTACAAACATTCATTAACTGGTGCCTGTGCAGAGTAGAGAGAATTAAATGGTATGATAGAATCACTAATGTTGAACTTTGGGAGAGAACTAAACAAGTTCCAGTAAACTATGAAGTGAAGAAAAGGCGCTGGATAGACACATGTTGAGAAAACCTGAGAGCAAAATAACTAGGATGTCTTAGCACTAGAACCCACAGATGCATAGAAATAAAGGAAGACCACAAAAAAAAAAAAAAACATGCAGAAGGAAGCTAGAGAGTGAAGTTAAAGAAATGGAAAGGACACGAAGAGAGCTTGATAGCGAACGATAGAACAACTTGGCGCAAGTTGGCTGAGTGTCTATGCTCCACTGGGGATTAGAAAGGCAGAAAACGAAGAAAAACGGCCAGCATGATACTGACCAAATCACTCACCAAGTGCCAGTTTCAGATTTGGCCACATTACCCACCAAATGTTGACTGGTTTAAACAAAATTATTATAGCATCACACGCTCGATGCATTACTAGCATAAGTAGGATTCTCCACTTTGATTACTCTATAAACTCATGTACTGTTTTAGTATTTCAAATGATTTCATTTAAAAAAAAGATTCCATGAAAGCTTACACAAACTGACCTCGTTTGAAAGTTCTGACTGTGCTGCAAGGTCATCGTTGATATCCAAGTGTACTGATCCCAGATCTGCCTGTTTGCCTTCAAAATCTGCAACCTGAAATGTTTACACATGGAATAATACGCATACACATTCTCTGGCTGCCTATTCTGATGATCCTCTGAGTAAATCTTCTTTTTCTTCTTCTGCTTCTTCATGTTCTCTTTTACCACTTCAGGTGTTGAGAAAGATATAAGGTCCTGCTTCGTGCTCTTTTGGCTGCTTCGACCATAGACACATCGTGGTGTTGTATGCTGATGAACCTCTGAGTAAATCTTTTTCTGCTTCTTCATGTCCTCTTTTACCGCTTCGGCTTTTGAGGGAGATATAAGGTCCTGCTTCGTGCTCTTTTGGCTGCTTCGATCATAGACACATTATGCTGTGGTGGAGTTTCTCTGATGTTATCTTCCCATTTGTTCTTCGTCTATTTCTTGATCTACGCCCTTCTCTTCTTTTGGTATATGTCTTCTATGGTATATTATCAGAATGCATTCTCTCGAAGTGAGCAAAACAGTTGACTTGCTGTCTTTCTATGTAATTTAGAATTGGTTCTGTGCCGACTTTATCTTGTATGACCTCATTCCTGATTGTATCTCTTCTAGTCACTCCTACAGTCTTTCTCAAACATCTCATTTCCATGGTTACTAATTTTTTTTTTACATTTTGTTGTGAGTGACAACGTCTGGTACTGATAACATAGGGTGGGAATGAATATGCTTTGTATGAGATGTTTGTTTCTGAGTAAATACATAAATGAAAAGATATGTTATACATCGATATCAATGTAATGGTATAGTGCTATGTGTGTATGCAGTCAAGAAAATGCTTAGTGTGTGTGTTTTTTTGTTTTTTTTTGTTTTGTTTAAACTTTAAAATTTGTTTGAATAATTAAAAAAAAATTTATCTTTATTGCTTGTATTTACATCCATCCATATTTTAAAAAAAAGAAGTGGGGGGGGGGGTGGGGGGGGGGGAGGAGTAGCGGTCAGGTCGCGAGTTGACCATTTAAGGCTACATGACAATCACCGCAAACTGTCAAACTGTCGTAAAAACTGTCAAATTTGTGTTTCTTCCTGGCAGAAAAAAATCTCCATCTCGGTGCTTTATTAAAATCCTACCCCAAACTGGGGAAATGCACAGGTGGGACAGTCTAATATTTCAATAAGTGAGTCTTAGATAGGCTGCACTCTCGCGGAACGTAGGTGAGTTGGGATTAGGGCCAGTTCTAGATGTTTTGGGGTCGTTAAAAGCATCAAAAAGCAGGGAAACCCAGTCTTACCACCCTCTTAAATATTGGACTGTCCTGTGACGTCATCTGGGGGTAAGATATTAATAAAGAACCTCCATCTCTTACTGAGGATTGAACCAGGGTCTCTGTTTGAGCGCCCTACACGGTAACACATGTTAGCCATTCCGTGTTCAACCCTCACAAAAGCTAACATCCCTATAATTTTAGTTTCCAAACCACACCATTATCTCCACAAAGTGTATATCGAAACTGATTCTCCAGCACCTTCTTATCTATATCTTTGCGATGCACTGATACAAACTTCATTCAGTCTATTTCTTCATGTAATTTACCCATTTTTGACAATTTCTTCCTCTTTCACAACTACTCTTCTATGTTCTCTAAATAATTATGGCAATGAAAGCTTGCTATTAATCGATTCTACCATAGATCACAAACAGGACGATGCGTTTGAGGTTGACCCTCGCCGGTGCTACGGAGTTCGTGCACTGCTCTGAGATTCTTCGGACTCAGACTTGAGTTAGAGATAGAACAGAGCACTTATGGGTTACTACCCTTGTGCCATGACGTTGATCCGTTATTTAAACCTAAAGCTTTTGAGGTCTTAACCTGTGGCCCATAGTTTTTCTTTGTGTATTGCCATTGTGAGCCAAATGTTCAATATTTCTCAGACCCAAAAAAACCTAGCTGATCTTCTTAGACATACTCTGGGGTTTGCTTTGGTGCTCCACATACAAGTGCTACAAGATTCAATGAGACCCATTCATGAAGGTGCCTAACACTTTTTAATATAAAAATATTAATTTTTTAAAGTTTTCTTTAAATGAAACAAAATAACTCAAAAACAGTTAGCAACACACTTACTTTTCTAAGCAGCACATCTTTTTCATTCTGAAGTCTGTCAATTTGATCCAACAGTTTCTGAAGGGGGCTGGAATGTATTTTACTTGCTGCCTGGCTATCCTGAACATTACTGCTCCCTAGAAGAAACAAAAGCCCGGTGAATTTGTATATATTAAATGCGACGAATTCAAGAAAGGTGAGAACATGAAAGAAATGTCTGGATAACCCTTGGCATCAACAGTTAAAAGATGTTTATATGTGTCAGCACCCCTGACTGTGATTGATCTATAAATATGAGCCTAAAAATGGACAGCATGGAAACATAGTGTGACTTGGAATATAACCGAATGTGTTGATGAATTTGACGAATTAGATAAGCTGTTTCACTTACTTTTGATCTTTTGTTACATTTTACAAACGAGTATTAAGTATCGCAGTTCATAATCACACAAACATTTAACTTAGGTATAGCGAAAAGCAACATAAGTTTCTCACTTTCAATGCAGTACAGTAAAACTTCATTAATAGGTATTCCAAGAAAGCGAAAAATTGCTTTTATGTTAAAACATGCATGTTGACAGGGCACTAGTAACAATAATACATCCCGCTGAAACCACAGTTTTGTTCATGCTAACCAAGTGTCCTCCTTATGCTAGTTCGGGATAATTAAGTTTTACTGTACTGTATGGCCTTTACTAAATTTTCATCATTTGTTGGTGAAAGAATATGAAAATGTTCTCTAATTTTATTTGGCTTTAATTCCATCTGCTCGTTATTTATTCACAAATATAAATCCCCCCCCCCCCTCTCCCCCCCCCCCCCCCAAAAAAAAAAAATTAAACATATTTCATAAAAATCTTTTATTTAAAATTCCTCACAAAATTAATCAGCTGCATAATTTAAGCTCGATAGTCTAAAAATCTAAACCTACGTTTTCACCGGACAAACACCAAGAGTGACCTAAATAAAACCATAAAAATGCTTACCATCCGTCCTGCTCTGAAGTTCCAGCACACGTTTCTCGTGCTCCAGTATAACATTTCTCAGATTGGTTATTGTGTCTTCCTTCTCTTGCACATTAGCCTTGTGGACTTTCTCCAGCTGCTGCAGACGGCCGTTTATGTCCTCCTGAAATTCATACACCATAAATTTCAAATACGAGATTAATAACTCTTTGAGAAGATTATTCCAAAAGGTTGTAGCTGCTTTTAGAAATAGACAAAACATCGAGTCTTTTGAGAGACTGCCTAACTGCTTTTAGACATAGATAAAACATTGCGTCTTTTGAGAGACTGTCTAACTGCTTTTAGAAACAGCCAAAACATTGAGTCTTTTGAGAGACTGTCTAACTGCTTTTAGACATAGCCAAAACATTGAGTCTTTTGAGAGACTGGCTAACTGCTTTTAGAAATAGACAAAACATTGAGTCTTTTGAGAAACTGTCTAACTGCTTTTATACATAGCCAAAACATTGAGTCTTTTGAGAGACTGTCTAACTGCTTTTATACATAGCCAAAACATTGAGTCTTTTGAGAGACTGTCTAACTGCTTTTATACATAGCCAAAACATTGAGTCTTTTGAGAGACTGTCTAACTGCTTTTAGAAACAGCCAAAACATTGAGTCTTTTGAGAGACTGCCTAACTGCTTTTAGACGTAGACAAAACATTGAGTCTTTTGAGAGACTGTCTAACTGCCTTTAGAAACAGCCAAAACATTGAGTCTTTTGAGAGACTGCCTAACTGCTTTTAGACATAGACAAAACATTGAGTCTTTTGAGAGACTGCCTAACTGCTTTTAGACATAGACAAAACATTGAGTCTTTTGAGAGACTGCCTAACTGCTTTTAGACATAGACAAAACATTGAGTCTTTTGAGAGACTGCCTAACTGCTTTTAGAAACAGCCAAGACATTGAGTCTTTTGAGAGACTGTCTAACTGCTTTTAGAAATAGACAAAACATCGAGTCTTTTGAGAGACTGCCTAACTGCTTTTAGAAAAGACAAAACATTGAGTCTTTTGAGAGACTGTTTAACTGCTTTTAGAAACAGCCAAAACATTGAGTCTTTTGAGAGACTGTCTAACACAGGTGCCGGAACTTTCAGCATCTTCTTCTTTTTCGTGTTCACCGGCTGTAAACTCTGACGTAACGTTCTGGTTGTCCGTCCATTTCTGAACTGTAGCTTATGCAATCCACTTGAGAGAAGGGAGCACATCGAAGATGTGTGTACATTGCATAATATATCCATGCAGGTTTATTGATTACAGAAAAATATTGTTTTAGGTAACCTGGGCCAGGAGCAGGAACTTTGACAGAGATTATTTGCAGAATGTCAGAACACGGGGTAAATGGCGTGCTTACTTGGCTGTTAGGGTTCTATAACCCTTTAAACATTTCGTGTCTGCCCACTTTGTCTTTCCTTTATCTGTCTGTCTAATTATCCATACAAATATATTACTCTGACCATCTTCTCTCTCTCTCTCTCTCTCTCTCTCTCTCTCTCTCTCTCTCTCTCTCTCTCTCTCTATCTATCTATATATATATATATATATATATATATATATATATATGTATATATATATATAGATGTTACTACACCATTTATAACAGGGCCTGTTTTGACACCAACAAACAGTTGTACAGCCAAGACATACGCCCTTACAAACATACAGCATCTTTATCCCATTGGGATTTTTATAAGTTTAATATGTCTTGCCAGATTCCTCCATTCAGTCCTATATCATGCAAATCTATCAACACACTAACATTCGTACTAGTAAAAATAACGTCAACTAATATGCATAATAACTTAGTCAACAGAATTTGCCTACATGAAATTACATACAGATTATGTTTATTGCAAAGTCAGGTGTTGAAATGGTACACGTCCAACATTCGTTAACGCAAGGAACTCTAGTGAAATTTGACTAACAAGCTTATCCAAATGGGGAAGCAGAAAAACGGGCACCAAACAACACAAATAACGTACGTTTCGGCTGGGTAGTCTTTGTCAAACATGAATTGGACTACACAAAGGTAACAACGAGGAGAGGTGAGTATACAGGTCTCTAAGGAGTGACGTGGGCAACATTTGAAAAAATGTGATGTGGAATGAATGAAATGCTGAAACGTTACGTTATTTGTGTTGTTTTGTGCACGTTTTTCTGCTTCCCCATTTGTTTACGCTTTTTTAGTAAAATTTCATTGGAATTCCTTGTATTAGCTTGACTGCAGTCACCCCCATATTTTCACTCGTTAACGCAGACAAATCAATAGCTGCGCGTAATCAATACTGTCTGGGAACAAGTAAATACGGCGACACCGTCATGTATATTTGAATAGCTGTAGCGACTTGGAGGTGACGACTGCAGAGAGGTATGCTTTAAACTTAGAGCAATCAATATAAATATACATACACATGGTGTTTATGACAATCTTGAAGAAATAGTAAATTTTATCGCCTATAATATTTAGGTTTGGTATCTAAATAGCCTCCTCATTCTTCTTCTTCTTCCTTTTCCTTCTTCATTTCTTTGTTTATTTTTAATTCGATTTCTTTTTTTCCTCTTCCTCTTTTTCTCTCGTCATCGTCATCACCATCGGCATCATCATCTCCTCCTTTTCTTCATCCTCTTTCTCTTCTTCTTCCTCTTCTAAATCCTCTTCTTTTTCTTCCTCCTCTTCATAATCTTTTAGTTCCTCCTCCTCTTCTTCTTCTTCTTCTTATTTTTCTTCTTCTTCTTCTTCTTCTTCTTCTTCTTCTTCTTCTTCTTCTTCTTCTTCTTCTTCTTCTTCTTCTTCTTCTTCTTCTTCTTCTTCTTCTTCTTCCCCCTCCTCTTCATCTTCTTCTTCCTCCACCTTCTCTTCTTCTTCTTCTTCTTCTTCTTCTTCTTCTTCTTCTTCTTCTTCCCCCTCCTCTTCATCTTCTTCTTCCTCCACCTTCTCTTCTTCTTCTTTTTTCTTTCTTCTTCTTCTTCTTCTTCTTCTTCTTCTTCTTCTTCTTCTACTTTTTTTCTTTCTTCTTCTTCTTCTTCTTCTTCTTCTTCTTCTTCTTCTTCTTCTTCTTCTTCTTCTTCTTCTTCTTCTTCTTCTTCTTATTATTATTATTATTATTATTATTATTATTATTATTATTATTATTATTATTATTCATGAGCCTTGGATGGGCAAACACTGGTGATTCTGTCACTCCAATATTTTATGCCAACCACCCAATATTTTAGTTGTCGCAAGAACTGCTACCCTGGAGCTTGCCTCTCGGTGTGATGGTCATGTGTTTAAACCCCATCGAGACCAAGTGTATGTTACATGTTTCCTTTGCGTTGTGGCCTGTCTCAAAACATTCGGGTGATAAATATTCGCTGTCCAATAAATTTTAAGCATCGGTTGGTTGACTGGCTGATCCACGGCCTACTCTATTTATTAGAGAAGGCGTCGGCTGATCATTTGATTGGTTGGCTAATTGACTGGTCGGTCAATAGCTTAGATGACCAGTTGGTTGTCCGCTTAACTGGTTGATTGGTTGTTCTATTGATAGACAGACTAGCTGTTTTTTTTAGTAGTCAGTCAGCAGCTGAGTGGGTCGGTCTATGGGTCGATTAATTGCCTGTTGTACCCCACCAGGATATCACACAAGCGATGCCACCACGCGGATGAGGATCACCCGTGGAGAGGTCCCAAAAACCCATTTCAGCCGTTATGTCCACATGTGTGGCCCAGCTTTATTCAGGAACTCCGGCAAAAGCCAGTGTGGTCAAGTCGATTAATTGTCTCGCTGTTTGATATGTTTGTCGGTAGATGGATGACTCAGACGGTTTATTGGTCGGTTTCTTGTCTCACTGTTTGATATGTTGATCATTAGTCGGTAAATCTCCTTTGCATCTTCGGAGTAGGACTGCTGAAAAAGCTTCTCTTCTGCACGATACCAAAACACCATCTCTATATCGACTGTGTTGAAAAGATCTCCTTCCATTTACCAGAATCAGAAATCAACTGTTAATGTCTTTTTTTTTGTTTTTTTTTTTGGGGGGGGGTCATTGCAGAATCATTTTCATTGCAGTCCGGGCATACTCATAAGTAGTCTAGTGTTTTCTTTTAAGCATGATATGGGTTTTAAACAACAGATCAACATCATGGCACACGGGTGTAACCCATAAGTGCTTCGTTCTTCTTCCAACTCAAGCCTCAGTTCGAAGAAGCTCAGCACAGTGCCTAGGCTCTGTAGCGCCGGCGAGGATTCTTAAATACTTTGGGCAGATTTTAAACTCCAATTTTTACCGGGCAGCGCCGTTAAGCTACTCTTTTCGATTTCCAACTGCCAAGGGATTTTTTGGCGGGCACAACAATGCACACGGGCGCCTGATCTCATTACCCAGAGATCAGGCGGAATTCCTAGAAGCCCAAGACCAAGTGAAAAGATCCCAGCCCTTAATGGGGATTGAACCCGGATCCTCTAGCACTTGAGGTGGACACCATGCCTCGAGACCACGCAGCCCCCTGTATGATATAGTGTTCGGTGCTAACCAAAAGAATACTGTTCAACACAATATTCTTACCAAAGCTGTGCTATCGATGTCAAACATGGACTCTGTCTTCAGAAGAAAGAAAGAAATTTGTCAATACAGAAATGAAATGTTCACGTACTATGCTAGGTGTAACCTGGAAAGATCGACTTAGGAAAGATGATATCCGGAGGAGAGTCGGCACAGAACCAATACTAGCGACTGTTAATCTTTGGATGGTTTTTGCGTCATATCCAAGTCAGGGAAAAATAAGTATTCTCATGTTTACGGTCTTCAGTGCATGTTGCCTCTCGTATAGCATTTATTGATCTCTTCTAGACATAACTGTATTTGCAACTTTACGACCCCTGTGAATAAACAGTGGCGTCACGGAAAAAGACAAGCAGAAGTATTTTTTTAATAGTGGCAAGCATCACTTCATAGGTCCCTGGTAGTTAGCATCCTTCGGATATTTTCTCCAGGTTATGCCGGTGTGTTGGGAAATGAGCAGGCAGATAGACTGGCCGGTTCTGCACCACTTGGTAGTGAACTGATGTATGACAAGCTGGATGTTGTGAGAGCCTTTTGGGAGCGAGTGAACAGTACCGAGGCACAGATAGATCGTTACGGTCTGAGGAGATTAGCACTGCGAGGAGTTACCAGGGTATCTAGCCGACGCTCGATTTTTAGGAGAAAGGCGAGACGGATATACAGTTAGTTACTGGTACCATCGGAATTTTAACAATTCGTTTGCTGTTGAAGATGGAGACGGAGCGCTTATGGGAGTGTCCCGAATGCTATGATATCGATTCTTAATTCAACATTCAACATTTTGTTAAAGTAAAAAAGCTGGTGATAATAATGAAAAGGTGTAGAATAATATGGATTTAGAATAAAGTAATTCCTAAACTTACCTTTTTAATGGAAGAGCCATCTTCTGACTGATTTCGTTTTGTGTCGTTCACTGTTGTAGAATTAGTACCTAAAGAAGCAACGAAATATAGTTATTTATTTTTCTTTGTTTGCTGACTTGCACATATTTGAATAAGATAAGCCATAACAATAGTTTAATCTATCCAAAATATTTCAGGATCCTCGCCGGGGCTACAGAGCCTGTGCACTGCGCTGAGCTTCTTCGGACGACTTGGATATGAAGAAAGATGGAGCACTTATGGGTTTCTACCCGTGTGCGATGATTTTGATCCGTTCTGCAAACTTCAAACTGTCTTGCAAACATGTTAATTTGGAGGGACAATTTTCATCCCTGGCAAATGTCATCAATTTTTTTTTTTTAATGTTTGTTGCTGATATATTTTTTAAATAAAGTTACTACGTAGGTACTATCAAATTACGCATAAAAACTGATAAAAGAAATTTTTTTAAGAACTGTTTTGGCATGAAATTTCACGCTCAGCTGCAATCATCTGGTATGTGACTGATATTTCCTTTTCATATACGCTGAACATGCTTGATGTTGCGCCTGCCGTCTGTAGTACAAATAGTAGCCCAACCAGGGTTATTAGTTTACGATATTTTCACCTGTCAAGTGTCACCGATGCCACGTTTATTACTTGCACGGGAGAGTACATGCACGAGTCAAATACACACCTCGGACAATTAGAAAAACCCACTTTGAGTTGTCAAGTCCTACCACAGTCTTTCCTGTACAGTTGTCAGAGATCAGTTGAGTTTTGAAGTCAACATTGTTGTAAATATAGATAATCTATTTCAATCGATCGAAAGAAGAAGTAGAAGTTTTAAAGTAAGCTATATATATATATATATATATATATATTATATATATATATATATATATATATATATATATATATATATATATATATACATATATGCATATAGCATTCGCAAGACCAACTATGACGACACACTATCAGAAAAGATCATTACTATATATTTACGCCTTGCGCAAATACAATAATTTTTTTCACGTTCAGTTGTCTGCCATACATAAGACAGCCATGTCCGCTTAGTGTCCATTTGGTCTCTTTAAAACATGTCAAAAACTTTCACATCAATGAATAAAGAGTGTCTTTGTTGCAGGTGTCGTTTGATGGCTACCAAAAGGTGGACACAGACAGACGTCATGGTCCCCGGAACATTTTCTGAAAAAAAAACGGCAAAGGAAAGAGATGGAGATGGCTTGGACATGTTTGCAGCACATCTCATGACACTTTGGCTAAGACAGCCTACTGGCGGACGGACGATGCAACAATGAAATGTGAATCAACTACCTATGGAAATCCGGAGAAGGGAAATAGAAAGTAAAATGGAGGTGTGTAAACTGACAAAGGATATCATGGGTAGAAAATCAGAATGCCGGCAACGATGTAGATTCGCTTGTGAATTCCGTATGTCAACACTGACGCGAAGAAAATATAGATATGTGTGTTAAAATAGCAGCTTTCTGGATCAAGAGTACCAACACTGAGAAAACATTTAAGAAAGGAAGTTTTCAGCCCCTTATAAAGTTTTAGAGTAATACTTGTCAATAGTCGGCTCTGTGGCTAAGTCGATGCGAACGCTTCGTAATGCCGGCGTGTCGGGTTCGATCCTAGCTGCGGACCACGCGCCTTGCGTTGGTTTCGACAGTTGCATTAGGGGGCCGACCGTCCAGCGGCAATGGCAAACTACTGGACGTAAATTTGCTTAGAGAAACCACACAACAGCCAGGGACTGCTGGGGTTGGTTCTGGAACGTCCTGTAACTGGTCAATAGGTCTAATAATCATTTAAGTGTGCAATAATAATATAACAACTAATATTATTATGTGCTGAATGGCAGATAACTAAAATAACATATCTGAAATAGTATGGAATGTATTTAAAGAATACTTAAAACAGAACGTATATCCATGGTTATAGAAACACTTAGTCTTCTTACACATTCTTATTAGCAGGCTGGGGTTGGAGTGGAGGATGGTTGGGGGTGGGGTGGGGTAATTAAACTCATGGGCTGTGGATGCGAGCTTAATCTTGCTTTCCTCCACAAGGGGCCAGGGAACCCATGCGGGCGGAGCATACTTGATGTAATAGTTAAGGTTGCCCTAATTATAATTTCTTAGAATGTTAAACAGGCTATCTGCTGTTGACTTACCATCCAGTGTGACTCCAGTGGTGTGAAAATTACCAGTTACTATTACTACAATGCTAGCTGCGTACACATACCCAACAGTGAAGCGAAGAAGAGGAAAATATTAGATGATACCCCTGAAAGTGTAATTAGTACATGCTGATGCTTACTCTTGCGAACTGATCATACCTCGCCACTGCACTACATCCAATCCCTACCAAGTTCTATTTATTTTTTCTACTTTTCGCCCCCTTTCACTTGGTTTGTTTGTTCACATGAGTCATCTTTCAGTTTTTATGTGATCGTTTTTGGTTCTAATCCTTAAATGGTGAGTGTTATCGGTATCCTATTTAATTATGTCTATCGCTTTACAGTCTTAGCGTTGCCATTCTCTTCTGAATGGTGGTTATTTACAGACTGTCATTGTTCCTCTTGTGAATAGCCCAGCTTGAGATTGTATTGTATAGCTGTTCTTCTAGACATGACATGACATAAGTAACCTTATTATTATAATTTTTTTTTCAATATATGTCGTCGCTGTGAGGAATGCGGTCATGTCTCTTGTGAAAGCTTTTTTTTATGCCTGCAAGCTATATTTATAGCTGTAAATTGCAGGAAAGTTAGTTCAGTAAACATCATTTGTACTTCGTCCAAATGTCTGACGCGATTTTTAAAAACCCCCTCCCTGGCTGTTACCGGGAGCCATAACATAACCCAACCTATAGGTTGTAAAGTCGGCTCTGTGGCTAAGTCGATGCTAATGCTTCGTAATACCGGGGTGCCGGGTTCGATCCCAGCTGCGGGCCATGCGCCTTGCGTTGGTTTCGACAGTGGTATCAGGGAGCCGCCGTCTAGAAAGCAATGGCAAACTACTGGACGCAAATTTGCCTAGAGAAACCACACAACAGCCAGGGGCTGCTGTGGTTGGTTCTGCAACGTCCTGTAAAGGATACGCAATTAACCTTATAGGTTGAACAGGGTTTCTGGAAGCCTGTCCCCAGATGATCCTCATGCGAATGGTGGTGCTTTTTGTCACCAGGTGTTTATCGCTTGAGGTGATGTGCTGGTGGAGTTGAACGTCAGTCAGTAAGTCGAGTTAGCTTAATATCAAGATCCCTGCATAATCCAACTTTAGGTTACGTTAAAGTAAAAGTAAAGTCGGGGGTGTGAACCAGCGTCCTTGCACACGGTTATAAACAATAAGTGCTCTGCCACCAGTACGGACAGCCGATAAGAATTGTCCGCCTGTGTCGCCGTCCGCACATAACTCTGTAGCTACAGCGACGTTCCTCCATTTACCCCAGAGTGTCATCTCTGGTACCCATTTCCTAGAGGCTGGGTGAACCCCGGGAACAGCCCGGTTTCGAACACCGGCCGTGGGCTGCAGCGAGTCGCAGCTCGATTTGAAAGCGAGCCTCTTATCGACGGCGCTTTCGCGGCCACAACATAACCTCACAGCTGAACGGAGTTTACCAGGATATAAATTTATAAGAATCTCATCCTAAAGGTGTCAATCCTGTGTAGTACAATCATGGAGGGGACAAACTACAAACGAGTTATCTTTAAGAAGTCTGCCACCACTGCAGTTATTGCTTACAATGCTACAAGTGCCGCTGAAGTATCTATAGCAGTAGCGTTTGCAATTATGATGTTGCTGGTTCCCCTTCAGCAATTTGCTGATGCAACTAATGTGCTTCTGCAGATACTGTTGCTAGGTAACGGAACCTTTTAAGCGTATCGGTACACATGATGCTAGACTTATTTTTGAAGATCAATCGGGCGCTCGATGGGTGTTGTGGTTGACATGACTCTGGCTGTTTTTTTTTAATCATTATATTTATATGTAGGTAGGTAAGCTATACCCCACCATGACATCACACAAGCGATAAACACTCGGTGACACAAAGTGCCACCATGCGGAGGAGAATCACCCGTGGAGAGGTCCCGGAAACTTTATTCAGCCGTTAGGCCATATTTAAGGATCGGTTGCATTTAGGGCCCCCGACAAAACCAGGGTGGGGCTTCAAAATAACTAAAAAGTGCATCCCACAAGGGGATGGCGATTGTTGATTTATCATTTTATTAACTGGTACTATTTTAGGGCGGGTCGACCTGAGAATGAAGGTCCTTAACAAAAGGACCATGTGGTTTCGAGAAAACTAACTCGGGGACAGCAGGTAAGTGTCTATCAGCTTTGCTACCGTGCCTTCCAGTTGCTGCTGCTGGCGGTTCTTATTCTTCTTCCTGTCGTTATTTTATTTTATTTTGGGAGCTTTTGGTGGAAAGAGGCGGGGGAGAGGGGAAGGGGTTTTAGAAACGGATTCAGAATTAGAAAAAAAAGTGACTTGCCTTGCCAATCTTGCCGCGTAACGTCACATGACCTCTCCAACGTTGCGGGGGTGTAATGTTTACATCACTGAAAACGCTTTGCCCGTTCCCTCTTTTTTCGTCTTCTCGCCGCTCGCTGGCATAATTATTTGCACGTTCTGCTACCTACGCGACAGGGGGCAATATGGAAACAGCGTTATCGTTCTATTCCTATGTTCCTTCTAAGTGCTGTCTTGCTCCCGGGGGGTAAAGCCATGGCCAATGAAAGTAGAAATACAAAAATATCCCAGCTTCAATACTCAAGAGTCGTCGCGCTTCTCCCTGCAGTACTTCTTAACTGAAATAGACACAGGACAACACAACCTTCCCCAAACCAAGCTATATTATAACACCCCTACAAAGTAGGAAAGGTCCGGCAACCTTACGCGGCATGAATGGCAAGGAAAGTCACTCTTATTCTGGGCCACAACCTTTTTTTGTTGTTGTAGTTGTTCATTACCAACTCAGGTGAAGGAATTTCTATACATTTTCATTATTGCTGGATTTTGCGGCGAAAATCATCTGCACGAGGTAGACAGTCTCAGACTATATGGGATGATTAAGATGTATACAGTTAGTCCTGTTCACCTCGAAGGTTTTCCTACCACACGAGTAAAGACAACGTGTAATTCCATAGTTTTAACGCAAAAGAAAGATCCAGACACCATTCTGTATGGAAGTAACTAATGACAGATAAACGATTTGTATTTGTACAAGCGTATATATGAAAGCACTCTTTCCTGTTTTTCGCTTTCATCGGCTGTGAACTCCAGTGGAAAGTTCTTGTTGTTCGTCCACTTCTGGACTTTAGTCTTAATCTAGAACTTGCGTTTAGCGTGCATATCCGTTTTTCATATATTTCTTTTCTTTATGCAGACCTTTTTTTCTTCGCCTCTCAGGCAGATACTTCCTGATTTCGAAACAAAACCCCTAATTAGTAGACTTTTACGACATACTTATTAAGGAAACATTGCCCTATCCACCCACCCCCCCCCCCCCCACACACACACACCACAATGGGATCTTAGGTCCACAATGAAAGTGCTCGAAATATGATTTATGGGATAGACGTGTGATTTCCCAAAACAACCTGAGAACCAGTTCGACTGACTCGACATGGGAGCACGCCCCAGGTTATCTTTGCTACTAAAAATAGGTCTGGCTGTAAATAACTGACATGACATGGCGTTGTGTAGACACTTCACACTTAAGATCAGCTATTGTAAGATACTAGTAATCTGTACGGTGTTGTCTCTAATAAGTGACTCAAACGTTTCTCACACCATTTCTATCGTGGAGTATTTCAAGCTTCATAATGGAATATTTTCTTAGATGCTAGAAGGCAAAAATAAGTTGGTAACTAATCTCATACTATTACCAGTCTTATACCACAAGGAAACCTGGTAACCAATCTCATACCACAAGGAAACCTGGTAACCAATCTCATACCACAAGGAAACCTGGTAACCAATCTCATACCACAAGGTTACCCGGTAACCAATCTCATACCACAAGGAAACCCGGTAACCAATCTCATACCACAAGGAAACCTGGTAACCAATCTCATACCACAAGGAAACATGGTAACCAATCTCATACCACAAGGAAACCTGGTAACCAATCTCATACCACAAGGAAACCTGGTAACCAATCTCATACCACAAGGAAACCTGGTAACTATTCTCATACCACAAGGAAACCTG